GTAGAGACGGGGTTTCACCATGTTGACCAGGATGGTCTCGATCTCTTGACCTCGTGATCCACCCGCCTCGGCCTCCCAAAGTGCTGGGATTACAGGCTTGAGCCACCGCGCCTGGCCGAACTTACTTTATTTTTAAGAAAGTTATTTCTCTTCTACTTTCTGTTCCCTGCCAGTTTTCTGTTTGTGGATGGGTTTATAAGTCCAGGATGGGTTTCAGATTCCCAGTTTAGGAGTTTCCACTTCCGCTAGCACTGTGAAGTGCAGCTTCTGCAATGAGGATCAGCAAGGGCAGGACCCTAATTCCCCGCCCCCTTGCTGCCCAGGCTCCAGAGGGGCCTCCCCTTCTCCCACCAGGTGTCTTCCTGAGGCTGCCCCCATGGGCACGTGGGCTCTGATGGCCTCTCCCTGAGACCCGCACCAACTGGGACTTGGTATTTTCCCATGGAGGCTGTGTGATGTTTCTTTGGGGAGCGGGTTTCAGGTCTGGCTTAAAGTCTCTGTTCCCCTCTCCTTCCTCTTCCCTGCAGCTTTTCAGACCCTCATAGCTCCCTGTGAAGGCGGGTGTGGAGAAAGCATGCTGGAGATTGGTGTTTATTTTTCACCTTATGGTTAATTTTAAGTCTGGAGGGTTCTCTGTGTTCGAGTTGGGCTGACAGCATGGATTGCCGCGGCTCGCCTGTGTCTCTTATTGATCCGTGTGGTTTCTAGAGGGCGCGTGCAGAAGTGTGTTTAGGCGGCCACGGCGCCCTCAGCTGCCGAGGCACTCCTGCCCGCACTGGGATGAGAATTTCTTAACCTTCTCTCCACAGGTTGGGGCCACCACTCTCCTGCTTCTGTCTCTATTGCTGTAGTGGGAGGTGGCCTCAGTCCAGGGGTTGCTTTTTTGGAGGATTCCTGGCTTCCCACCTGCTTGCTCCAAGATTGTCTCTTCCTTGACATCCCACAGCTCCACCATGCGTCTGGTGTGGCTGATTTCCTTTTCTTTTTCTTTTTCTTTTTTTTTAGACAGAGTCTCACTCTGTTGAGAGGCTGGAGTGCAGCCACATGATCTCAACTCACTGCAACCTCCACCTCCCGGGCTCAAGGGATTCTCCTGCCTCAGCCTCCCAAGTAGCTGGGCTTACAGGCGCCCACCACCACACTCGGCTAATATTTGTATTTTTACTAGAGATGGGGCTTCACCATGTTGGCCAGGCTGGTCTTGATCTCTTGACCTTGTGATCCGCCTGTCTCAGCCTCCCAAAGTGCTGGGATTATAGGTGTGAGCCACCGCACCCGACCTGGTGTGGCTGATTTTTCTTAGACCTCACTGTGCTCATGAATCTGAAGATTCAGCTCTTTGAGCAATTTTGAGACCTCCTCAGCCGCAGCTCTCCAGGCGCGGCCCTCCCCGGCACAGTCTCCTGCTGTGTCCCCTGCGCCTCCTCTGAAAGCTTCCCGTCCCGCTGGGAATCTCTCGTCTCTTTTCCACGCTGGGCGGCACTCTGGGTGCCACTTGCCTCCTTCGCTGCTTCTAATCGACGGTTGTAATTGCTCACTGAGCTTCCTCCTCGGCTGCCCTGGCTCCCGTTTCTGAAAATGTCGAGTTCTGTTTCGGATGAGTCGGCATTTCTCGAGTGTCTCGTTCTTTCCTCACGTCTGGAATTCTCTCCTTCCGTCTCTCCCCATCTTGCTCTTGCCCTCTCACGTCTCCGCTCCACACGTCCGTCATCTGAAGGATTTGGAGCTCGCCCCCCGCTCTGCCCTGCTGGCTGACTCCAGGCACCGGCGTCCGTCCTCGGATGCTGCTCCTCTCCCCGGCGGGCTCCACCCCGGGCTCTGCGCAGTCCTCGCCAACGCCCTTCCCTCCACCCCGGGCTCTGCGCGGTCCTCGCCAGCGCCCTTCCCTCCACCCCGGGCTCTGCGCGGTCCTCGCCAGCGCCCTTCCCTCCACCCCGGGCTCTGCGCGGTCCTCGCCAGTGCCCTTCCCTCCCGATCGACTGGAGGAGCTTTGGGTTTGCTCCTGCTGGTGCCATGGGAACGTTGCCAGCCAAGGACACACTTTTGTTTGAAATTTTACCTTGTACATTTCTGAAGCAAGCATGTTGGGTAAAATCCAACCTTGTGACATAGGCCTGGCATCAGGAGTTCTTGGGGAGATGCCCCTTCACCCAGATCTGGGCCGAGACAGACCAGCTCCCTCCAGTGCCCTGAGCAGTAGGGGCGGTTTTTCTGGTTCTTTCCCTGGAAGGGGCTGAGAGGGTCCTGACTGGCTCAGGGTTCCTAGTTCCAGCTCTCTTCCTGGCTCCTGCCACATTGGTATCAAAGCCCTAGAGCCCTGGTCCAAGGCCGGGCACCTGTGCCCCAGGGAACTGCAGGCTCACTGACCCATCGTGTCCCATTTCCTGGCAGTTGGCCCCGGGAACTTGCCTCACACCTTCATTCCTTGACTGACTCACTCCACAAACGTTTGCACACACTTGAGCGTCCCCCACCTGCCAGGTACTAGGGGCAGCAGCAGGGGACGCAGCAGACCCAGCGCTCCCCAGGGGGAAGGCAGCTGCGCAGGGGTACAGAGCCAGGAAGGGGAGGAGCCCGGGAGCTCCAGCCTGACTGCGCTCCGGGCGGGGAGGCAAGCATTGGTCCTCTGCCACTCCGACCCCGGGTGCTATGGGTCTCATCCTGACTGTGCTCCGGGCGGGCGGGGAGGCAGGCATTCACCCTCTGCAGCTCTGACCCCATGTGCTATGGGTCATGTCCCACAGCTTCGACCCCCCTGGCCCTCTGTCAGCCGGAATGTCCTGTGAAGTGCTTGTCACCTTCAAGCCCATGGTGAGTCAAAGGGGCCGTCAGTTCCCTCGAAGGAGAGGTGGTGATGGGTGGAGCCTGCTGCTCCGTGGTGGAGGGAGGATGCTCTTGGCCTCTCCGTGAGGGTCACTCGGATCCCAGTTTTGATGTTTTATTTCCAAAAAGACACCCAACGTATTCCTTTGGTCGGGTAGAACCACAGCACAGCTCCCCTGAGTTAGTAGCTGAGGGTGCGCCCTCTCGGGCCTGAGTCAGGAGGCTGGGATGTTCCAGGAAGCCTGCGGATGTGTGGCCCTCCTGGGCACCCTGGGCCAACTCCTTCCCCAGGCATCTCCCAAGCCTGGCAGGTGGCACGCGGCCTCGGCCCAGGCAGCATTGAGGCAGCCACGGCCTGTGTAACAGGCTAAAGTTACAGAAAGGCCGGGTGTGGTGGCTCATACCTGTGATCCCGTCACTTTGGGAGGCTAAGGCAGGGGGGTTGCTTGAGCCCAGGAGTTCGAGACCAGCCTGGACAACATAGCAACACCCCGTCTCTACAAAAAATACAATTAGCCAGGTGTGGTGGTGCATGTCTGTAATCCCAGCTACTGGAGAGGCTGAGGTGGGAGGATCGCTGGACCCCAGGTGGGGGTGGGTGGAGGGAGGTTGCAGTGAGCCGAGAAGGTGCCGCTGCACCCCAGACTGGCCAACAGAGCCAGACCCTGTCCAAAAAAAAAAGTTACATAAGTTTATGGTAGTTGGGGTTGTTTTATTTTCTTAGATAAACAAAGACCTAGAAGGAAATGTCTCATTTTTGGCTCAGACGGGAGAGTTTTCAGTTCCACTGAAATGTTCAACAAAGAAGTGTTCGGTGAGTTCAAGGATCTCGGAGCCGGCGCTGCCCGGGGCTTCCTGGCTGGGAGCCCCCGTGGGGGACGGCATCTCCTCGGAGGCAGGGGCTAGTGGGGGGCTCCCATCTCCACCAGGGCCCGGAGCCCCTCCGTCCAGCAGCAGCATAGGTGAGCCTGAGCCGGGCCTTGGGTGGGGGTCTCGAACGTGGGGCGCTCGGACCAGCACTGGAAAAGCCAGACCAACCCTGCTGGACGTGGCACCCGGCCTGCAGGCCTGTGGCTCAGAGGAAGCCGCCACGTTCACGTGTGTTGGAAACAGACGCTCGGGGCTGCAGAGACAAAGGATCTTTCAGCAACGTAGTTTTTACTTCCTGGGCTGCAGGAAGGGGACCCTCATTAGCCATCTTGCCACAAGAGTGCAAAGAACAAAGGAAAACACACAAATTCATCCCTTACGCATGTGGGGTCGTCTTTACTGCTGTGTCTGATCTCCGTTGGTTGGAGCCAGACCTCACAATCTAAACTAAAACCCGATTGGCTGACAACTTAAAACTTTTTATTTTATTTATTTATTTAAATTTTTAAATTTATTTTTCTTTATGTCGGTCAGTTGACTTCAATCACCTGACCTTGTGATCCACCCACCTCTGCCTCCCAAAGTGCCTGAATTACAGGTATGAGCCACTGCGCCCAGCCAAAACTTTTCTTTTTTTTTTTTTTTTTTTTTTTTTTTTTTTT